AAACATGTGTATGTATTAAGTTTAGAATTATGTTATTAACACTTGAAATCATCGTAATAAAATTCAGAACCTATAAAATTAAAATTTTGTCTTCATATATATTAAATATATTTAGATATCTACAAATAATTTAGTAAAAAATTAATTATTATTGCAAATTTATTAAGAGTACATTCTGTTTGCTAATTGAATTTTAAAATTTAGGTACCAGGATATACAACTCAAAGTTAATCTTTTTTTGTTTTGCGGGCTGTCAATGAATTACAAGGCTTAATCAATGATTTAATTATATTAATGTTATTAAATATACTCTTTTTATTATAATAAAAAATACTCAAATGTTTTTCTCCATTAAATCCATAAAAGATGCCGAAATTCATGGATCTTTTTTTCTATTTTAAGATCATCTTTAGCTTTTCTTCATTATAATAAAATAGAAATTAGCATGTGGATTTCCTAATTTACCCTTTAGAAGTGGGGACAAACTTGTTTTTTTTTGTTTTCAATTCGGTGTCCAAAGCTCGTTTAGAGATTCTGTAAAATTTGAATCACACATTGCAAGGTCTATTGAGATGTGATGCTATCAATCAAATTTTTTTTCATTCAAGACTCGAATTTAAATTTTTTAATTAAGAAAAAACAGTTTCATCACTACACCACGATCCATATCGGTGAGACTGACTTGATTGGAGCGATGCATTTTTTACTATGGGTTCCCTTTAATTGGAGGGGTAAATATAACATCAAAAGATTGAGTTTTTATATGCCTTTTATAGTGTGTTTTGTCAAATGTCTCGAAAGGTAAAAGTTATTTTTTATTTTAAAAAAATTTCTACTAATATTATAAAGATAAGATGTTTGAGTAATATTTTTTCAATTAAGCAAGAATTTGAATTCCGAAGGGGTCGCAGGCGGAACGGAAGAGGCTAACTGATTCGATCAAGTAGGGCTAACTCAATGGAATTCATAACCCTTTCAATCATCGATAGACGAAGCTTTCTCTTTATCATCTCGTGCCAGATATACGAGTGAAAAATATAAAATGGATTTTATTGGGTTGCTTCAATCATATTTTAAAATTTATACCAAACGTTTATAGAAAGAAATGATATGAATTATACATTTTTATTTTGTTTTGAAGCTTAATGTACATTTTTTGATTTATTATCTAAATTAAGTGATATTAAATCAAACATATATTATTTTTTTTTCGAAACAATGGAATGTCAAAATCGTACTTTTTGGCCCATACAAATTGACATGGAGGTAACTTGTACAAGGATAAAACAAACAACACAACCAAAATAACCTTGTTTTCATCTTTCAATTTGTTATTTATACATAAAAAAAAATAAAAAAATTACCATATGACACTATGAGCCTGTTTGGCTCAGCTTAAAAGCTGGTCAAACTGACTTAAAAACTGGTTTTTGACTTATTTAACTGTTTGACAATACTCAAAATAACTTTATTTTAAGTTAAAAAAAACTTAATTTAAGCCAAAAGTTAAAAGCTGGGTAGGGGTGTTTTTTTTTTAGTTTATAAGTTGTTTTAAGTTGACCACATTTTTATCTTTTTGCCCTTAATATTTTTATACAATCTCCAAATTACTCATATAACCCTAACATCTTTTTCTTCCATTTTTCCCTTTTCATGTTTGGCATAACAACTTCAGCACTTTTATCCAAACGCATAACTGCTTATTTTAAAAATAAATTTCAGCACTTTCAAAAGTACTTTTTTAAAACTGCTTTTATTAAGCCTATCCAAACGGCCCTATATATATTTCATTCTCTATGTTGTATATAATCCATATTTCCACTAACGAAAAAAAGCATATGTCAAGTTATAAGAAAAAAATTATATTGATATTAGTTTTAATATTCTCTATTTCTTTGTTTAGTAATTATACATTTTAGTAAATTATGACATTAGTATATTAATACTATTTTTAAAAAAAAATTTAATACACTATATTTAGTATTGTTCCGATTTTACTACAATCCTATTCATTTAACAAAATAAATCAAATAATTAATAAAAAAATATATATTAACTTAAACTAATTTAATATTATTAATACACATATTTATTTTGAGTTCATTTTAACTATTTTTGACAATAATGGAGCATGTGATATAAAATAGAAATAGTATAGTACTCCTAATATATGTTTTTTTAATGATAAAGAGGAGAAGTAATGAGTGGAGTAGTTGAAATTTGTTGGATTGACCATAGAGAGGCCTGCTTTTCTTTGTCTACTCAAAATAATTATTATGCTCCTCTTTTTATTTTTAGCTCTACTCCTCCACAAAATTATTTATCCTTTTGTTTTTTCCCTATTGGAATTTATTTTTTAATCATATCAGAGTTGTAAATTTTCTTGTGGGGTGAAAAAGAAAGGTTAAAATAATGCTAAAAAAAGTTCAAAATATTTTGGTGGATTGGAAATAAGATGTTAATTTGGAAACACTAAATGAAATCTAAGAAAGGATAAAATATGTAAATATCTTTATTTTTATTTTAAGTTAATTGGAATTATTTTTCATAGAATTTCATAAAGGGAAAAAGCTCAAATATGTCGTTGAATTTTTAGAAAAGACTCATTTATGTCGTCAGTTAAAAGTTCGGCTTATTTATGCCATTATCATTAAAAAAAAGGCTCATTCATGCCGTTATTTTTTAACGATGGTTTTGCAAAATCATTTTTGACACGTGACCAATTATAATGCGGTCATATCATCAACTTTTTTAATTTAAAAAATAATTCAATTTTTTTTCTAGAATTATGATCATTTTTAATTAAAAACATAGATAACGTAACTTTCTTTTTTAATGGTAATGACATAAATAAGTCAAACTTTTAACTGATGACATAAATAAGCTTTTCTGAAGTTCGATGGCATATTTAAGCCTTTTCCCTTTCATAAATAAAAAATCATTGTTTGTTTTTTTTCAATTCACAGTATAGTTTGGTTATTTTGAATTTACACCACACAAGATTTTAATAGTGTTCCTTCATATAAAAGAAATATCTACGTGTGAATTGATTTTAAGTCTCTAATTAAAGGAGAAACAATCTCATCTATTATATCATTATCTATAATAGTAATTATTTTGGTTAACCTTTCTTAATTATTATTCTTTTGTTTTTTGGCTAAATTGTTAGACAAAATTGGAAACATAAACAGACCGTAGGTGGGTGGGTGGGGGTGGGTATGGGGGTGGGGGGGTCTGTCCTGTCTACTCTTGATCCTTTCTTGTAGATCTATCATCCATCTTCATCACATGTGTGTCAGTATGTGTTTGTATGTGTACTTTGGTCAGGTCAATTGTATCTGTACATGGATTATCTTTTATTTTTATTTTGATTCTTCAATATTAATATAGAATTTTTATTATATGGTTTATAGATAAAATTAATTTAAATTTTTATCTATTAATAAGGTGAAATATTTATGTACAAAAACCAATTGAACATTATGTTTATAGTAAAAACAGAACTTAAATTTTCATTTAAAAATATTTAAATATATGGGAACTGACAAAAAATTGATTTGATTATACTGTATATTCAGTAGTGCAAATTAGAAATTTGCTAAATTCATATAAAAACTGTAGACGTTATATTATTCTAATTTTAGAAAAATTTAACTAAATTTTACTAAACATCATATTTTCTTGTTTCCAAGAAATTATCACTAAAATATCATTTTAAAAAAATTATTTATCCTCGATCAATGCAATTTTTTCTATTTTAATCTCTCACACGACAATTATATCTTTAAATTACCCAAACTTTACTCTTTTTAGACCAGCCAAAAAGCTAAGAAAGTATATTTATGTTATAACTTTCCCATAATTGATGAAAATTACACTTTTAAAGGTATTATTATGAAAAAGAAAACGTCTTTTTTTCCCTATCCTTTTCCCCATTACCCTAAAAAAACAAATACACACAAAAAGAAATTATGATTTAAACCGTCAATTCAATTCTTTTTTAAAAGTATAAATTTTTGATTCTTAAAATATTTTATCATGGTTAAACTGATCGTTTTTATTTTTACAAAAAAATGACTAATGTTCAGGAAATTATCTTTATTATATGAAAAAAGTTATATTAAAGATCGGTTTAGCCATGATAATTGTTTTTTTACCCTTTTTGATTATTTCTTCATCTTTTTTGAATATCCATGTTTGACAATGAAAATTCCAAATATCATTTGTATTTGAAATTTAAAGAACACCCAAAATGTTGTTATCACCTTTTTATCTTTTCTTTTTTCTAGTTTATCCTATTTTTTTTTTAAGTAATATAATCCTATTTAAATTATATTTCACGTAAAAATATAACTAAATGGAACTCTAACTTCAATTGTGAAAATATCAAATAAAGTGATTCTTTTTATTTTCATCGTCATAAATTAACGTTCAAAATATTATGTATTATAGAATTTGTAATCACAAAATAAAGAACTTTTTATTAAAAAAATATAGATATATATAATTTTTTTAATACGACACATCATGATAATTTGATATCTTATTTATGAATTATGATTTGCTCATTTCTTCGATTTATAAAGGAATTAAAATTTTCATTTGATTATTAATTTCCGAAATTTTTATTCAGATTTATTAGAAAAAAATATATAACTCAAGTATTCTTTGTATTTAAATTAATTCAAATTTTACTCTAAGGAGACACTTGATCATGAATATTTTTTTTAAAACTTTTTTTTCAGAGTTAAACTTAAAAAAATACGTTTCATCGTATAATTAGAGAATCCAATTTTCAATATTTTAAAAAAGTACTTTTAAAAATCAAATAGAACTCTGATTTTATTTATCTCTCAAGTAAACTAAATTAATTCAAAAAAATTATAATCCTATATAATAATTACATTATGAACCAAATCCCTCCTTTTTATTTATTTTTTAAATGTCTTTTTTAGTTTTTCTTTTATCTTTTTGGTAAGTACTTTTTGTTAATTTTAAAATGAGCCTAGAGTTTCACATAGGACAGCAAATAAGCTTTTGTTACTGTCTGCCAAATGGAGGGTCCTTAGTTTTTTTCCTCTCTCTCTTTCTGCTACCAAAAAAATAGCCTCACTACTCCACCATCATCTTCTTCTTCCTTCTTCCTTCTTCTCTTACTGCTGCTAATAAGCTTTTTCTTACTTGGGTTTTCTCTTACAACATCAAATTTACAACTTCGGTTCCCACAGGTAAGAAAAAATTCAATCTTTTTCTTGTTTTTTAAAGCTAATCTTGGTTTTTTTTAGCTAATCTTGAAATTTTGACTTTGGGGTTGTTTCTTCTTTGCATGTTCTTGAAATTTTCTTGTTTTTGGTTTTTGGGAAGTTTGTGGTTTGGGGGTGATCTGTTCTCTGTTTCATATGAGTTTGTAGATCTGTTGAGTGATTCTTTGTTTTGCTTTTTGTTTAAAAAATCAGATTTTTTTTTTCTGTTTGAACTGTATATACTTGTTGTAACTTGTGAAAATGAAGGATTTTTGGTATTTTTTTTTTAACTTGTAGGAGTGAAGGTAAGAACTTTTTTTTGGGGGGGTCTTAGGGGTGTTGTTTTTGTATTAAAGAACTAAACTTTGAGGTATTTGGGTAAAGTTTAGTTTTTGGTTCTTGTTTAATTATTTTCCTGCTGTTTGCTTTTGAAATGAGGAATATTCCTTTTGAAAAGCTTATGATCTTTCCTTTTCTCTTCTGCTGAATTTTTCTGGGCAAAAGTAGCTGCTTTAAGAGAGGGTTTTCTTTTTCTTTTTTTTTCCTGCTAGTACATTAATGTCTGTATTTGATAAATTACCCAAAACTAAAAAAGAGTTTACCTTGAAATCTACTTTGCTATGTATTTTGCTTAAGGTTGATTTCCCATAGTTTGAGTTATTATCTTAGAAAGTCATCCTTTTTCTTGATTTTCAAAAAAATTTCAACAAAGAATGTTATTTCCGAGATAATATCAATTAGTTGAGTGACTATTTGAGGAATCATCTATATAAACAACCTGTAGTAATTTAATTCCCAGGATTGTAGGAGTTATGACATACTAATCCTGTTTTTTTATGTTAAACACCTAAATGCTCAATGCATTCTGAATGGTTTTTTTAGTCTAATCGAAGGTTGTAAATTTTGATCTTGAATAGTGTTATGTTAATAACTTTGTTTCTTGAAATGAGCTGTGCAGGATTATTAGAGTGATCTGTAATTGTGATGTCTCCGCCGCTCCTTGGTGTTGGGGAGGAGGAGGGCCAGAGTAATGTAACTCTACTGGCTTCTTCAACTTCCTTAGGAAGCATATGCATAAAAGGATCAGCTCTTAAAGAGCGAAACTATATGGGTCTATCTGATTGTTCGTCGGTGGACAGCTGTAATATTTCCACCTCATCAGAGGACAATAATGGGTGTGGATTAAATCTCAAGGCAACGGAGCTCAGGCTCGGTCTACCTGGATCTCAGTCTCCCGAAAGAGGTGAGGAGACTTGCCCTGTGAGCTCGACAAAGGTTGATGAGAAGCTGCTCTTCCCCTTGCACCCTTCCAAAGATACTGCTTTCTCGGTATCGCAGAAAACAGTAGTTAGTGGCAACAAACGAGGATTTTCAGACGCTATGGATGGATTCTCAGAGGTGAACTATCATTTCTTTAATAAGGTTACTCATTTTTTGGTAAAGCTGCAATTGAAGTTACATAATCTATCCTACAGGGGAAGTTTCTGTCGAATTCCGGTGTGAAAGCAGGTGATACAAAGGAGACCTCACGTGTGCAACCACCTAAAATGAAAGATGCTAATACTCAGAGTACAGTTCCAGAGAGGCCTTCTGCTGTGAATGATGCCTCAAACCGTGCGGGCAGTGGTGCCCCTGCTACAAAGTGAGTATCTCCCCACTAGGAGTAAGAAGTGTGATATTTGGATAATGATTGTACAAAATGTCTAATCTGTATCTTGGATTAATTTTAGGGCACAGGTTGTTGGTTGGCCACCCATTCGATCTTTTAGAAAGAACACTCTAGCCTCTGCCTCGAAGAATAACGAAGAGGTTGACGGAAAAGCTGGCTCACCAGCTCTTTTTATTAAGGTCAGCATGGATGGTGCTCCCTATTTGAGGAAAGTGGACCTCAGAACCTGTTCTGCATACCAGGAGCTATCTTCTGCTCTTGAAAAAATGTTCAGCTGTTTTACAATAGGTTAGCTATTTTGGAGCCTTTAGTAGCTCATAATTTCATTGATTGGATTAAAATAGTAAGATACATGTTCATGATTTTTCCATTGCCCTAGTTACTGCTACTTCCTTGTTATGACAGGTCAATATGGATCTCATGGAGCTCCTGGGAAGGATATGTTAAGTGAGAGCAAATTGAAGGATTTGCTTCATGGATCTGAGTATGTCCTCACTTACGAAGATAAGGATGGGGACTGGATGCTTGTCGGTGATGTCCCCTGGGAGTAAGCTCTTGCTAATTCAACTCCTTTTTCTTTTCTTCCCGTTTAGCACTGTTTGGTATAGTTTACTACATTTTCGGCCAACCTATTTCTTGGTTGTATGCTTTTTCCATTGAGATAAAAAGAAGAATATAGTGCACGTGGTGTGGATTTAGTAGTAAATGTGGACTTGGTGCAACTGATAGTAAATACAACTCATCTTCAGATTCAGAAATAAAATTAGACTAGTCAGTCCTCATCTTAAGGAAGTTAAACAAGTTCTTGTATAACTGCAAGCTTAGAGAGCAATGATGCTCTAGTAAGTCCTAAATTAAAGTGGAAATCTCAAACCTGACCCATAATTAGGTTCTCTGAATTGAGAAGCCTTGCCATGCAGTAAGAGTTCAGGTAGGTTTGGCCTTGTGTTACAAGGAAGATCTTTTTTTTTTGATTGATAGAGCTTTTAAGGAGATTGATTATAATGAAGTCTGATTGAATTAATAAATCAGCAAGTTAATTTTGAGGGCCATCATTACTACTTACCATTTTAGAAAACTCATGGCTCATTTTGTATGTGTATAATGCTATGTATGAAAATATTTGCCATGGTTAAGCATGTAGTCAGGATTTTTATCAATCAAGATTCATGCTGCCTTCAGTTATGGATTATAATTTCTTATCTCTAGCATGAATAGAAAAACCAATAATAATCTGATTTTTTGATAATGCCAAAGGATTAAGGGATGATAAACGTAACTAGAAGAATTTGGTATCATTGTTGGTTTGACACTCAACTAGGATTCAATGATATTGCTAGTGTGTGTTAGATAGCGATTGCGCTGCTTTGGGAAAAAATGCCTAATAATCCGTGTGACATTCAACTCTTGCTTCACATGTGTCCCATTGTTAGTGGTGCTATTCCATGTAATTTGCACAGCTTGATTCAGGGAGTTAGTCCTCTTTCTGTCTCTCTCTAGTTCGCTTTATCTCCCTTCTTTTTTGTTCTTTTGCAATGATGAATCTGGTGGTCTACTATAACAATGGTAGACCTGAACATATTGTTTTCTTGAATCTGTTCTCTCTTGGACCATATAAAAATACCAGTAGTACATTTATTAAGGGCTGTTCTTTGCAAGTTCTAATATCTTAGGTTCAGACTTGTAATAAATTTTATTGAATGTAGTTTCTGTTTGATTGTTTGTATATTTGACGATGACCATGCTTTTAATTCCTAATATTTTCATGTTGTAGGATGTTTATCGATACTTGCAAAAGGTTGAGGATCATGAAAGGTTCAGATGCCATTGGCCTGGGTGAGTATCTCTTGTTGAGCCTTAGACCTCTTCATTCACACAATCAAAATGAAAAACGGAAAGAAAGACCGTCTCCTCCTTCATCTCCCCCGACCTTGTTCTTAGGGCTTGTACTTCTGTTTTTGTATTTTGACATGCATAACCATTTGGCGAGAGATGTGGGGCTTGCTCAAGTGGTTCAGCACCTCCACCATCAACTGGTAGGTTGAGGTTTAGAGTTCGAGTCATGCTGGAGTGTTAGTGGGAATACTAGTGATCTTCCGGGAGGGTAGAAAAAAAGGGGAAAAACAACTACTTGGTGATAAATAGAAATATACAAACTGTAACGCAGAATTATCTGGTTTCAACATTTGATTTCTGTGAATCTTGATTACTTTCTATGATTTGAAACAAAACTTCCTTGCAAGTTTCATATTTAAAAGATATTATTGAAGAAATAATTAGAAGTCATGAAATGCTGGTTTAGGAATTCTCCCACCCAGCTGTTCGTCATGAAAGTTCTCTGAATTACCGTGATGCATTTTTTCAAGTAGCGTTAAGTATTAGAGAATTGCTTGCCTGACAGAACTACATTTGTTATGGATCTGGCCTCATTTTATTATTTGTCAAGCGGCAATAGAAAGATTTAGGACATCAAGGTAGGCTAGGCATCTTGAAATGGTGGTGGTAGGTTCATTTGCATTGTAGGACACACCTGCATCTGTGAGAGATGAGGATGGAGAGTGAAGGAGAATGGTTAATGTAGTCCCAAAACCGAAAGGAAACGAGCTATAAGTTATTGTAAATCTATGGGCAGTGTTATGCAGTTATTGCTGTTTTAAACATGTGAGTTAGTCAGCTTTATCTCATTATAAAAGGGCAAAGGGGATAACAAACTCAGCTGTTATAATTTCCGCAAAAGTTCTGTTACCCAATAATGCATTTCCATATGCTGATTTGTGTGCAGACTTCGGATAGGTCTTTTATTAATCTGTAAGTGTGTTTAGTCTATGGTAATGCAACTCTAGTTTAATTTTTGGTATTGGTTGCAACATTTCAACGACCAACTCCTGCTCCTAAGGTATGAATGATTACCTACGAAACGGAAACATGTTACAATTCCACTAACTTCTGTGCATTTTTATGTGCAGCCCCAAGGGCTATGGAAAAGTGTCGGAGCAGAAATTAGCCTATCTACACATGATTAAAGCTATCCATCCAGCATTTCTAGTAGGCGAGGAAGACACAAAAACGGGTGAAGAGCTCATAAACTTGAATCCTTTTTAAAGGCATGAACAGTATAGCTGGTTGTTGGTCTTGGATAGCTCAGCATGGGTAGATGCTTTACCTGATTACGACATGGTGTTCTTTTATATTTGCGTAATATATGTCCTCTTTTAAGTTTTTTTTATCATGTCTATTTAAAAAACCGTTTGATATTGGAGTTTGTCTGCAAACTAATGTGTGTTGTGTACTGAGAGCTCTTCTAGAGGTAATTTAGTAATGTTCTAAGTGTATTTGCTTGTTTAAGTTCCCTTAAGTGTGTACTTTAGACCCAACGTTTGTCGTTTGATTAAGTATGCGTGTGCACTTCAGAAATTGTTATTACTGTATGAATAAATGTGTCCTCCACATTTTTCATCGGGTTGTAGTTATCGAAATAACTAACCTCTTACCTCACATTGCATCAATGTCGAATTTAGCTTCATAAACTATGAACTCTGTTCCACATGCTCAATTATTTGTTCATAACAGCTGGTAACATTATTGTGTCTGTTTAGAGTTGTTGTGTAGACTACCTTGCCTCAATTATTTGTGTATTAACATCAGATCTTCTTGTCTATTGCCTTCTCATTTCGCGTTTGTTGATATAATTATTCATGGCTTGCATTATTGAAAGTCTATTCCAGGTGAATTATTAGTATTATGAAACTGCATGATTGGTACTCCCTCCGTTTCAATTCAAGTGTTTGTACGTCTGACTAGGTACGGAGTTTAAGAACCTAAGCGAGAATTTTGAATTTTGTGGTATTAAACTTGTCACGCAACTTGAATATGTACATATAACAGGTTGGAAGAAAGGACAATATTTGTGGTAGGGGTTGTGGAAGTTCATTGTACATAAATGTGTTTTTGTATCTCATGTTTTCTCATCTGACACTTGAAATGAAAGATTTGTTTTTCAATGCACTGTTTTGTGCCTCTTTGAGATGCCAACAGCTGAATTAGTATTTATCATTTGTACTTATTTCACTGTGCAAAAGATTGGGAGAATCTTGGGTTAAATGGGATTTTTGTACACCACCTTAATATTTCATATGACATAATTAAAACTTTGGAATATGTGTTTCATTGCTTAATAATAACATATTTAGCTGTGAAATGATGGATTAATTAGTATCATATGAAAGAATTAATGAAAGTGTTTGCACGTTTACTTGATTAAATACTAATTCAGCTGTTAGCATCTCAAAAAGACACCTACTTTTGAAAATTTATTTATTTTGGAGTACTCCTTTCCTCCTTAACCAAGAAGTCGGGATCAAATCCCCTTGAGTAGGAGTCGCCTTTATTTGGTAGCACTTTACCTCTGATGTGGGTCTTTTTGGTGCGAATTTGAATTTAGCTAGGCTCCAATGTGTTTACTGAGCGTTGGTCGGGTGAAAATCAAAGAAATCTGAGTACAGGGTCTCTTTTATTAGATAGTGTTTACCCTTCAATGTTAAACTTTTGGGAACGAATTCAAATTTAGCTGGACTTCAACGTGGATATTGAACGTCGGGTGAAAATCAAAACTCTAAAAAGTTGAGCGTAGAAATCAGAGTACCCTTGAGTGCATAGTCACCTTTATTAGAGAGTGTCTTATCTTTTATTAGAAATTGTCTTATCTTTCAACGTGAGATTTTTCAAAGCGAATTTAAATTTAGCTGGGCTTCAACGTAAATATCAAATGTCGGATGGAAAACAAAACACAAAAAAATTGAGTGTAGAAATGAGAGTACCTCTTGAGGCATAATAAATAGGGTCGTACACGGTGCAGGTGTATAATACTAAGTTCCAATAAAGTGCATTTCTCGTTACAGACAATTTTAATCGCCTCATTTATTGCCAATAACAATTTTTACTACTTTCTCTGCCAACAAAGTTTGCGGTAAAGCAGTAAATATTTACGTTATCTAATTAGATATTTCGAATTCAAGTTTTTTTAAGTACGGAGTACGTGCAAATTCAGATTTAGTCAAGCACATACAATTTTTAAAGTTTAAGATATTAATCTACAAAAAGTGTATGTCACGTACCTACTTACTTATTTTGAAAAAGACGGAGCATGTTTTAATCTGTTAAAAATCGTAGCTAACCAATTAAGTTAGTAAGAAAATATATAAAGAGAAATTATTTGGATAACAAACAAATCCATTGGGCTACAATGAAGACAAGTTGTTGATTTTTGATTTTTTGACAGAGCAGGCAGAATCATATATAGTTTTCAGCAATGTTGGAAAATAAAAGTGTATTGAGTCAGATTTCAGAATGGGGTGTAGTAACTGAACCCCATTTTTTCATGTTGGCAAATTAGCCTACCACAATTCTAACATCATGTGTATGCATATCCACGATATCGAGTTTGAGTTCTTGAATATTTAATAATATTTTTTATGAAAATAGGACCTAACTCAACGTATAGATTATAGTTCATGAGATCGAGTATTGTAAGAACATATAAGGAATCACATACACAGTATATGTGGAAACCTAACATCCCCGCACACTATAACTTGAGTTTGTCAACTGAAGTATGAATAATATAATATAAATTTGAGAATATATGTGGGAAATTCCTTATGAATTTAAACATGAATTAGAGAAACTATTAAATTAAATTAATTCGAAAATTGAAATTGGTCCCATTATTTATTAACGCTGAATAAAAATTTTATCATCATAATCATAATGTCTAATTTTAATTTTTAAAATTAACAAATTCAAGTCCCACACATGAGTATAAAGTACCTAGACAACATTGTCAAGTTCAAACACAATCATGTTAAAATCGCTAATTATAAAGCGTGATTTTATTTTTAATCTAAATTATCACATAAATATCATATTTGATCATATAATTTAAATTTTGTATTATATTCAATCTGACTTCGATCATATACCAAAAGTTAGCGTTACTTAATAAATGTATTAGTACTATACTAATAGTTGAAGGTGAGACAAAATAATTATATTTTGAGTTGACTTTTAATTCTTTTGTGGTGGTGATAATTAGTTGATTATTCCAACTATTAATCAAAATTATTAATAAAAGAGTTAGTTGGGCCAATCAGAAGACTAATTTGCTGTCAATTCTCAATGCTTTGATAATTAGTTGCACAACTGGTTGGCCCAAAATAGTTACATGAGTTATCATTTACCTAATTAACACTACTATTAAGTATTCTCGCTCGGTTCATTATTATTTGTCATTTATTCGTGATATTCTCAATTCATTTATCGCTTTTGATATATCAAAGAAAGACAATTAATTTTTTTTCATATTTTATCGTCAATATTAAATATTTATATATACTCCAAATTATTTTTCAAGATCTAAACTAACCATCATTTAATATGGCTAGTTTGATAAAATATATAGCCTATTAATAGTTATTTTCATTAAGATTGTGCCAAGATAAATAGTGACATGAAAAAATAAACGAAGAGAGTATCACACACAATTTTCCCTTTTTTAACTAGAGTTTTTTTTTTTATGTTTAAAAATGCAACATTAGTGGTGTCCATTATTATAATTTTTTAAAAAGTTTTACCGTGCCAACCTAATATTCTATCTGTGTCAAATTATTTATCATATATTTTAATCAATTTTTTTTAAAAAAAACATACAATAAAATTATGACAGATTATAATTTATAAACGTGTTTTTTACTTTTTGTAGTACGTGGAGAATAAAAACACTACTACTATAGTTGTTCAAGATGTATCGGATTACATCTTTAGTCTTTTTGTATCTTTTTTCCTCAAATTATTGCCTACTTTTTAAGTTAGATTTACGTAATTCTATAATTTCAACTCAAATTTTATAATTATGCTATTTTTTTAAAATTTAATATGTATAAACAATATGATAAAACGTAAAAAAAGTTATAATTCAAAATTTATTAAATTAAAAATTTAAACTTCGTCACTGCTCGACTTGAAACAAGTAGGAAAGAAAGAATAACATTACATCCAAGTTCGTTGAATAATAGACCTTAGCTTATAAGTGGATTTTATCAAAGTTCTAATGAGGCAAAATAAACGTGTTTACAAGTCTACCAAAGTGTCAAAGTTTGGAAGTTAAAGTAACCAAAAATTAAATATACAAGCATTTTTTTTCCTTTAAGAGAAATAAACCTTTAAAAACTTATATTCAATTCAATGAATAATAATATAGTGGGATCTTAGTAATATAAATATCCATCTTGTGTCTTGTTTTGCATTTATGAATGTATTTATATCCCTATGATTGATTTGGCCCCCCTTGCATTTGCACACTTTATTGTGAAGCTATCTTTTTCAAGATAGAAAAATAATAGCATTTTATTTCTAATGGAAGTCTTTGTAGAATCTCACAAGATCTCAGTATTTGATCAATTTATATTGAAAAACTTCTATTCTTGCTCCTTTAGTGCTTTGTCTATTTATCTTTAAAAGGCCAAATATATAAATATATCTCTAAACTTGTCGGGTTTTTTTCTTCAGGTACCTCAACTACGTCATTTTCATATTGAATCATTAAACCACTCATAATTTGTTCCATTTAAACAAACACGGTTGTCTGATGTGGAATCAGGTTTGTGAGGGGTATTGATAGAGGATGCTTATGTTGTTCAAGAACATATTAGTACAATTGATAGTGAAAATGTTTGAGAATAATTGTGTTTTACTTAAGTCGTTTAAACACATTAGACAATAAATGAGACTAATGCGGATTGTCTTCATTCCTTCGATCAAAATCATTACAAATCAAACACAATTAAAGGCATTTACAATAGAAAATCCGATCAAAATCATTCAACAGTGTTTTAAAGGAACAAATTATAGTTGATTTAATGATTAAATAGGAAAATGACGTAGTTGAGCTACCTAAGGAAAAAAACTCAACAAGTTTAAAAATCTCTTTATGTATTTAGCCTCTTCAAAACTAGATTGAATTAGATGAATCAATATTTTAGGATTAAAATTTCTATGAGAAGTGCTATAGGTTAGTAGTTTCTTTCATTTGATAAAAAATAATATTCCATCCGTTCCTATTTGTACGTCATCATTTTAGATTTTACACTCTTAAAGAAACTAGATGAATTTACTATTGTACCTTTATTTAGTATTCTCTTGAAGTCGAGTTTTCAACAAATTAATATAAATTAATTTATTTTGATTAATTAGATTGACTAATGAATATGAATTAATCATTTACTTTTTCTATATTGGTTAAATTAATACTTTCAAGGACAAAATGGAAAGAACAGTGTTATTTATGTGTTGATTTTATAAAATGACAAATATTAATAAAATCAAACTGTTTTTTTTTTTTAACAAGGATGACATATAAATAAGAAAGGACGGATAGGTGAATGAATGAATTATTGTTTTTCTGCCTAAAAAAATATGGAGGAAGGAAAAATGATTTCTTT